GCCCAGCGGTCACGTACAGAAAGCCCCCCTGCCTCTTTCCCACATGGGGGATGGCAAAGCGCTGGCGCTAACGCTGCCCGTACCTCCTGCAAAGTCCTTGCTCTCGGAGTCAAGCTTCTGTCCGGGCTTGTGTCTGGTCCTGCCTGCTCAGTTTTAACCTTTTAGGGGTGGCAGAGAGGATCTTATTTCTCATTTGACTCTCTGTCCCCATCCTGAGTTTGGGAATGGGGCGGCAGTGTGTGGGCACTTCTGGATTACCCACCCTTCGGGGCAGACAGCCCAGGAGGAGGTCTCGCATGGCGGGAGGGGAGGCAGCCTCCAGCCTTTGCTGGTCCGTCATGGACCAGGTCATCAGCAAGGTGCTGGAGCCCGGCCTCACACCCCAGCTAAGGTGGGTGGTTTGTCTGGGGGAGGTGGACGAGATCTTTGAGACCTTTGGTCTCCGGGGGCTGTCAGACTGTTAATCTGCATCTCCTGCCTGATGCCTCACCTGGCCCCAGAAAGGCATGGTGATCACAGAATCGTAGAATGGTTTGGGTGGGAAAGGACCTTTAAAGGCCATCTAGTCCACCCCCCTGCAATGAGCAGGGACACCTTCCACCAGACCAGGTTGCTCAGACTCCCGTTCAACCTGGCCTTGATGATCCCACTGACAGTCCAGACTGCTCCTCATATGTCACACAGACTCATGCGAAGTGTCTTGCTCAGCTTCTAGGGGTGAGCATCCAATGCCCGAGCATCCTGAAGCTCAGCCCTCGGGCTCCTAGAGCATCGTGCTACCCTTTTTCCACACCAATTGCCAAGAAATACCTTCTATGCTTCTTCCTACAGCCTCAGCCATCTGTAATGCTGGACATTTTAGGAAAGAGTTGTTAATCCATTTATGTCATCCCTGGCCCCCACCCACCATGCCATTTCTGAGCTTTGCAACTCACTGCCGTGTGGCGGTGACCATCCCTGTGGACCTCAGGAAACCTCAGATCCCTACAGCTGGACATCCATCGAATCACAGCAGTGGTGTTGAGCAGTGCTGGGAACCACAAGCATATCCCGAAAGCAGAAGTGTTTTCCCAGCAGCAGGGGAATTTGGGAGGGAGGGAGGGAGAGGACAGCCAGCTTTGTTAGTGAAGCCACATACTGAAGGCAGAAACCAATTTCCCAGCAAGAGGCGGATAGGATTATTAGCAAGAGAAAGTGGAAGCAGATTTCCAGGCTGAAGAAGAATGGTGTGAGGTTTGCCAGCAAGAGGAGTCAGCTACTGAAAACAGAAGGTAATTTCCCATCTGTAGAGGGATGGGGATAGAGGGTTTCCCAGTCGTAGAGGGACAGTTGGCACTAGTGGGGACAAAGGGGTGTCGAGTGCCACTGGGGAGGGGGTGTCAGAAGAAGGTTTGTCTTGGCATCTGCTGGGGTTTGAGGGATTTACGGTCATGGGAAAGCTTTCTTCACCAAGTTGGCTGTGCAGGGTGAGGAACAAACTTCATACTCTCTTCAAAGCTCTCTTCTTTTCAGGTCCCACCAGTAACACGTTACTTCCCTTGCCCATCTCAGCCAGAAGAACGCTTCTGTTTTTTGCCTAGGCTTGTGCCTCAAGCACCCCCTTCATGGGGACACCACGCATCCCCAGGGACCCATGATGCAGGCAAAGCCCCTGCCACAGCCCACTCTTGCAGCAGCAAGGTGTCCTTGGTACCAGAAAGCACTGCAGCATAGTCCTCAGAGTGTGGGGTACCAAGCACTGCTTGTCTGCATCCCTGGGGAGGCATGGAGGCAGATGTCTGGGAGATGTCCCCATCCGTCTCCCCACCTCCAGTGCAGGCAAAGGAGAACCGTGTGGGTGAGAAAAGGGCTGGGAGTGAGTGGAGCAGGGATGGCTCATCTGGGACTTACACCGATAAGGGGGTGCGAGGGGCCAGGAGAAGAGCTGGCCGAGATCAAGAAATCCCGGGTGAAGAGGGAAAGGGAGAAGATAAACCGAAACACTGTTGGGGGGGCAGTGTGTCCCCTGGGCTGCGATTACCAGCCTGCCTGTGGGGTGAGGAGCACATCGTAGTGGTGGGGGCCCCTCCTCAGGGTGAGGGTGTCCTCCTCCTGAAGTTAGACCTGTCCGTGCCTGCAGAGGAGTGGGGAGAGAGCTTCCTGAGCAGCTCTCTGTGAACTATCCACTTCTGCCCTTTGTGTTTTAAGCCTGTTCTTGCCCATGGCTTTTCTCTTGAATCCTTGACCTATTACCATCTCAATAATTTCACTTCTGCCTGTGTTTTCATTTCTTTTTGTATCTCCCCTAGCTTTAGCTGGGGTGCCTTTTCCCTGCTTGACAATAATTTCCACTTCGCTCTGCAGAGAGTGGCACATGCATGCCTTAAGGAAGACTCAGGTGCTGAGGTTTGGTAATTCTTCCCGGTCTTCAAGGGAGGTTTTTTTGGTTTTTTGTTTGGTTTAGGGGTTTGGGGTTTTTTTGGGTGGGTGGTGGTGTCCTTTTTTTGTTTGTTTTTTTTTTTTGGTGTGTGTGTGGTTTTTTTTAAAATCTGGTGCAGGGATGTCTTGTCTGTGACACTCACTGGTAAGGTGGTGCACTCATTGCCACTCATGCTTCACCCAGGCGACCATGGTGAGATGGGCAGGAAAAGGGACCAGCACAGGCAGGAAAACAGCAGACAGTCATGACTGTGAAGTGGGAGGAGGGCAAAAGGCCAGGAAAAGGGTACGTGGAGAAGGGGTTCTGCCAGAAGTGTAAGGCTGCTGTGCCCAGTGACTTTGACAGTAGCGGTGGCCATCAGGCATCCAGCAGTGCATCCCACCCGGCAGCCTCACGTGCCCGGGAAGCACTGGGGAGGACAGTGGGACTCCTTGGCACTTGGAGAACCTGCCGTGGGCACACGCACGGTCCTCACGCACCACAGGTCCTGGCACTTGGAGGTGCTCACTCTTTGCTCTGGGATGATGTGTTTGGAGCATACCCAGCGCTGTCCTGGAGTGTGGTTTTATCCTGCAGCCTCTATAAAGTGCACACTACTCCCCTGTGCCTTCTTTCAGACAGACTGGGGGTTGCGAACCAGAGGAGGATTTTGTAAACCACAGGGTCTTCGGTGTGAAGTCTGCTTTCCAGACAAATCCTCACCCGGACTCTTTGCCTTCAGCCACCCAGCTCTACTGATTAATCAGTGGCATCGTTTTGTGCCCAGGTCCCTCGCGTGTTCATTGGAAGACACTGCATCGGAGGATTTTCTGACCTGGAGAACATGTACTGGAAGCTCCCTGGAATTCTGCAGCAGATTGGCGCCCTGCAGTAGGTGAAGAGTAAGTCCTGGGGAGGATCGCTGGCCAACAGCAATGCTTTTTCAGTAGCATAGACAAATTTGAATGTTTTTAATACTGAAGCATGACTTGATGGAGCAGTGTTGTGTGCCATGATGCAACAGCACAGTGTGAATTCATTTCTGGGATTCCTAGTTGCAGTATATACATTTGACTGTCTTCCTGCATACTTGAAAGAAATGTCACCAAAATCTCTGATAACGCAGGTTTCAGTGGCTGGACTTTGCCTAGACAAAATGGTTCAGTTTGTAGATCTTCCTTTCCTTTTATTTTTTTAGAGTAATAGACGGTCAGAAGATGGAGCCTGTTGCTCTAAAATAGTCTCTCATTTCATCCTGACTGCTCACAGAAGATGGGCTTTTATTATATTGCAATCAACTTAAAAAAACAAAAGGTCTGGACACTCTATGGGGGACCCACTGTACTTTTCTGCTAGTGGGGAGCGTGGTGACCCTCAGCAGGACTTTCTGAGGTGCTTGCATGCAGGCATGGAGAAATGCTGCAGCAGGGAACCAGTCAGACAGAATGCGTGGAGATGGGTGACGTTGGTGCAGGTCCCATATGCGTGTGCAGTGTCTTTTACACAGAGAAGCAGCATGCAGAACATGAGCAGAGGAGGGAAGAGCTCTTCAACACTCAGGCTGAGGTAGTTTAGGGCCACAGGTTTGCAAGTGCAGCTGAGAGGGCCTCTGGGACTTATTGCTGACAAAGAAGAGGAGAATCATGGAATTGGTCAGGTCAGAGGAGACCTCTGGAGGTCTCTCATCCAACCCCTTGCTCCCAGCAGGGTCAGCTGTGAGGTCAGACCCAGTTGCTCAAGGCTTTACCCAGTCAGGTCTTGGCAAACCTTCAAGTACAGAGTCTGCACAGCCTCTCTGGGAATGTTTCACCCTCCGAATGGGGAAAACTTCGTACACATTCTCTGTCTCTTGTCCTCCCGCCGCTCACCACCCTGCAGGAGCACCCCTGTGAATGCAGCCCAGGCTGCTGGTGGCCCTCCTCGCTGCCAGGGCACGCTGATGGCTGGCTTTCACCCCCGTAGCTGCTGAGACCCCCTGTCCGCGTTTTGCAGAGCTGCTCTCCATCCCATCATCCCCAGCCTGTGTCACCCAGCGAGGCTGCTCCTGCCCCACAAAACCCAACTCCGGTTGAGTTTCATAAGGCTCCTGCCCACCCACTCCTCCACCCTACCTAGGTCCTGGGCAATGTTTCCGAATTCGTCCTGTGCAGCCCGTCCCTGATCCCACCTCCTGGGTGTTGCCCTTTTGCCTTAGAGCCCCGATGTGCATCCCTCCCTCAGCCCCAACGCTCTCCTGATACATCCGCTTGTTTTCTGGAGTGTCAGGTTTTGGACAGACTGCCTTCGGAGAAGGAGATTAGAGGACAGGATAGAGCAGCCTAAAATCTGTGTGTGTGGTAACAAATAGCAAAGCACAGAAGAAATGGGCCAATAATCTAAATGAGCAGAGCAGCAGCAACAGAAGATGAAGAGCAGGAGGAGCGGATGCTGCAATGGACCATCTCTGGTCCTCGCTGCACCCAAGGGCAAGTGCAGGGAGTGGAGGCAAAGAGAGGGTCATGCCTTTTAGGAAGTCACAAATACTTGGCTTTTTGCAGAAAAGGAGGAAGAGGTGTCAGGGCAGCCAGCCCTACAAAAGAAGGCTGAGGGTCCTGCTCCAGCAGGGGGTTCAGGGATCTTTGGGGGTAGATGATGTGTATTGTCACTGTGTTTGTGTGGGCCACGAGTGGGAATGGGCCATGAGTGGGCTTTTAGGGATGCGGTTAAGGAAAAAACCCCACACTAAGAGTGACAGCCCGGATATACGTAACTGTGTGGGCTGTATTAATCCCAGTGAGAGAGGAGAGCACCTGGCTCCTCCTTTGAACCATACAGGGAAAGACAGACACAGACTGGGGCCCGTTGCTCTCACTCATCAAGCATCCCTTCAACGACCCGTTGTAGCGTGTAGAAGCTTTTTTAAAAACTTATGTTCCACTTCTTCAGAAGATAAGATTCAGCTGCCTGTACAGACAGACAGGGGTGTGTTCATGGGTGTGAGTGCGTGCAATTCAGCGTCTGTGCATGCTACGCAACAAGGACCTTGGAAGGATGACGGTAGCTTGAGTCAAACATGCAAGCACTCATGTGGCTGATTACTTGTTTTCCTCACTGAATGAAACTCACTAGTTTGGTAAGATGATTTTAGCAAATGTGGCTAGACTTATAATACGTGTAATATATATAATGTGTGAGTATATGCACAAAAACTGTGTGCGTATAGACAGGCACACATATATCTGTGTACAGGTGAAATACGTAATTATGTATACACATATAAAAGCACTATGTAAAAGGTCTCCAAAGTCTGTATTGTATTAATCAAGTAGATCCTAACAGCAGTGACCTCTACCCATTATGCCTGATGTTTCTACTTTCAGGAGAAAGATGACCATGATCTATGACCACCTCCTTTTGACAAACACAGTTCTTGGAAGTTCAAGGAAGTTCTTCCTTGCAAATTCCTTCTGTGGGATCAAGTGCACCTTTTTGGCAAACACAGGTCCTTTCCTTTTATTGATCAGTGCTTCGACACGTTTACATCTCTTCATCCTTTCTGTAGCTCTGGAAAGAGATCCAAAACATGATCTGATTCAGCCCAATAAAATACGCTTGCTCTAAGTGGCTGCCTTCACCGTTGTGGTTCTTTTTCTACAGACCCGTTCATGCAGTAACCCTAAACGCCCTTTCTCTGTCCACAATCTTTTTCCCCCTTGTCTCTCCCAAATAACCTTCTGGAAATTCTCAATGTTTTCCATGTCCTGTAAAAAATGTCATTGCAATGGTCGGATCTGGAGCTATGCATAAACTGCTATAATGTGGGTATCCTGCAGCGCAGTCTTGATAATAGCCACTGCAGCCTGCACATTCATCCCCTGCCCTGATGACCCATCTCCTTTTGGCTGGCCTCGCATGGCAGAGTCATGACGACTGGTCTCGGCAGCCCTCTTTCGGCAATGATTTCGTTACAACACAGCCGCTGGGAGGAAGTGATACAGGTTTTTCCATTTTCACAGTGATAGTTCCGAGGAAAGAGCTGTTTGGAGCAGAAAATGCCTGGGGCCGTGCAACCTGTTGGAGGCAGTTGCTCAGTGCGGAACGCCCCACCGAGATGGTACCGGGCAGATTTGGACCTGAAGTGAACAGTGCTGTGTCGGCAAATGGATTTACAGGAAATGCACAGTGCGGCTGCTGCCAACTCAAACTTGGTGAAGAGTTGCTTTAAATTCTTGTCATCAAAATAACACTCTCTCCAAACAAAGAAGTTTAAAGACCATTTCAACTTGATAATGAGGCAAAAACCCAAAGTAAAAAATCCTTCTGATTTCTTCTCACTTTTATTTTTCTCATCCTTTTTCTTCCCTCCTTTTCTTTTTTTTTTTTTAAACAAACAAAAAAATCTGTTAAACCTTTAGGATTTGCTGAGCAGACAAAGCCGAAGCGGAAGAGCCCATCCCAGCTTTGGGGTGACCATGTGAGTGTGGCCCCTGACAACTCATCCTTGACAAAGCTCCCCCCCCATGGGCACAGTCCCCCTCTCCCAGGATGAAGCTGAGGTGAGGTAGGATGAGCTGTTCCCCCATGCCCACAGCTCAGCAAGAAGCTGTGCGACATCTTCCTGCTGTAAAACTCCCCGGTGACGCCATCTGGGGCTGATGGTCCTCCTTACCCTCATCAGGAGGGAAAGAGAAGAAATCACGGGCTTTCTCCTCTGCTTGGAACGGAACGGGAAAGCCAAAAGCTTCATTCTTGCCAAGTTTAAAGACCTTTACCTCTTGGCAGAATAGCAATCCCATATTTCAGCAAGTCCTAGATAACTTAAGCTGACTTGTGCAAGTTTCTGCAGATTCATGTTTTCTCAGCATATCTTGACCCTCTCCCAGGCAAAGGGCAGTCCTTAAATATGAGAAGTTCAATGCAGATGTTTGCTAGATTGCATGACAAATTTTTTTTTTTAAGCGATTCTCAAGCAGAACTCACTGCTTCCAGTCCTGGTATGCAGACAGAATTTCCGCTGGACAAAAAGCTTAAAATCTAATAGCAGTCTTTAAACACACTGCTGTGCTGAAACAGTGTCAGGTGAGGCTGCTGTCGGAATTTTCTCATGCACAGTCACACCAGGCGTGTCTGGAGCTACGTCAGAACTGCTGTTGCAGGGTGTGTTCTACGGAATTTCGGAGGATGGGCAGTAATTATTGCTGCTGCTGATGATGAGAGAAACTGCTCAGGAAGAGTTAAAACTGCAGCCACAAATTTCTGGTTTTAGTGCTTGAAAAAGTCATGCTGCTTCCCTTCTTGCTTAACATTTTGGAGAACAGTTGTATTGCGGTAGCTTTGCCAAAGGTAAATTCTGTGCCATAAAATTAAATACATTGGGGTGTCTCAGTGAAGAGCTGGAGTATTTGGCCTCTAACAGTACCTGCCACATGGTCCTTTCCCAAGGACAGGAAAGAGCTTATCCATGCAGCCATGGAATTGCATCCATATTGCAAGCTGAACTGGGACAGGAAAGCAGAAATAGCTGAACACAGACGTTAGGTCTAAAATCCTTAGTCTCATGCAATGTTTCGCTTTTACCTTCCACAAAGCTTTAACGCTTCTTGTTCATGTGATACAGTTTGAATTTACAGTAAATGACTCTGTTGGTGCACATCTCCTGTGGCGCTTGTCCTTCTTCATAGCCGGGGAACTGCAGAGTTCAGCTTGGAGTTGCTTCTGGACTTCACCAGTTTCACAATCGAGTAATAAGTTAGGCTTGATAAGGCTTAGCTGAGGTTTCTTCGGGATCTGGAATAAGAGGTTTATTTGGGTGCACAATAAACGCCCAAGGAGTTATATTAAACCATAATTGACAAAACAACTGGTTGTTTTTCCTGGATATTCAGACAGTTTCTAAATAATTTGCTACAGATGAGG